ACACGTTGGTTCAGGAAGAAACGGGCTTTCAAGTGCCACCGTTTTCTCGGTGCCTCCTTTGTCGCATTCAAAGGTGCCTCATGTAGCGTAGGGGTGTGCCGGCGTTCGCGTCTTGAATGTTGGCAGTTGATCGGGACGATCGAAGTGGGGACGGAAAGAATGGGCACGGTGCCCAACAGCAGTTTCTGTTCATTTTGAACAGGACTCGCTGTCCGCGCCGCCGCGGACGTTATTCTTTGAAGACAAAAGGCCGCCTGCCTGTCCAACAGCGGTCGTTGTCGGCTTTTGGACAAGATTTGTTGTTGGGCATTGTACACATTTTCTCCGTGCCCATGTCGGGCGTCCAAAGTTGAGGCTTTGGTGTCCGCCCCCATCTCCATCTACTCCTTCGGAAACAAGAACACCCTCAGAGTTTCCAAAAGTATCATCATCCGGATTCATTCCCACCGAGTCGCAGGGCCAGGTTTGGGAGCTAGTGGGGGAGCGAGGTCCACAGGGGCAGCGTTGGAGGGGGGATCGGCTCAGAGGGCAAAGCGCATCGGACCGCCGATCGCCCCTGGATCGCCGACGTGGGGCCGGAAATAGCCCACCCCGCCCGGGAGGGTGCGGGTTCGCAGCCGGAGGGCCTATCGCCGAGCTGGCCCCCCCCTTCCCCGTCTGTCGACCCAGACATCTGGCTGCTCCACTTCTTTCGGTGCGTGCGCCCTGGAGGTCAAGACCACTTCCCCGGGACCAGTTTTTCGGCCCGCGTCGTGTTTTGGCGCTCACGAGGCCCGGCGAGGGCCCCCAGAGGCCGAAGGCTGTCAAAAAAAACGCCTGCGTCAATTTCTGTTCGGAGCGTCGGCTCTCAGGGCTTTGCCTCCCTCAGCAGGGGAGGGGGGGGACCGTACATGGACATTATGTTCGAACCCTGTGGCCCAAGATGCCCCCCAGACCCCCCGAAATTAATATTGATGGCGTGGCGGCGGGTGGGGGCGTGAGTGGACAGAAATCCTCGAACCCCAAAGCACCGCCTTTCTTGAGATCAACATTGATGTCGGGAGCGCGGGGGTGATTTTGAATCTCCCTCGAATGTGTAAGGGCTCCAATATACTGTCCATCGACTGGAGGTCCTCGAGGGCGTCCAGAAGTCCCGCGCGTACAAGCTGCCCAACCCGTGGACCGCGGCTGCCGCGGGCTCGGAACCGGGGAGAGGCTGCTGGCGGCCCAGGCCGTCGGTCACAGGCCATCGCGGCGATCCCCAGGGGAGGAGGAGGAGGAGGAGGAGGAGGAGGAGGAGGAGGAGGAGGAGGAGGAGGAGGAGGAGGAGGAGGAGGAGGGAGGAGACGAGGAGGAGGAGGAGAGGAGGAAGAGGAGGACGAGGAGGAGGAGGAGGAGGAGGAGGAAGAGGAGGAGGAGGATGAGGAGGAGGAGGAGGAGGAGGGCCTTGCCTCGCTGGGGGTGGCTCCCGAGGGTGGTCGGTCGGGTGCGTGCCGCGCGGGCCGTGCTGCAGGGGGAGCCCCGTGCACGCGCCAAGCAGGCCCGCACCCAGCAGGACACTCATCAGCAGAAGCTCGAGAAGGCCAAGTCCTAGTTCGAACGGGCCAGGACGGCGCTCGCGCAGTCCATCCAGGCCGCGGCCAACGCCAAGGCTGAGTTTGCCGTGGCACAGGCTGCCACCGACGACGCGGCCGCCAAGGCTGCGCAGGCCTTCAGCAGTCTCGCCACCGCCGCGCCTAAGGATGGTGAGCTCGCCGTCCATGCCTGGGCCAAGGGTCTCCGCGAGCAGGCCGAGCCCGACGACCCCGACGCCAAGGAGAAGTTCTCGCGCCTTCAGCAGCAACTGGACGACATGGTTAACTAACTTGGGTATTTTGAGCCTGCTCCTGTCGCTCCACCTGCTCCCGCTCCTGCACCTCCTCGTGGCGGCGGTGACGCAGCCCCCCAAACCCCAGCCGCTGATGCGGGTGGCATCGAGCGCGCGGTGCCACTCGACATGGAGTTCGGCGACCTCCTCGGCGACAAGTCTTTCCTCGTTGAGATGGGCGAGAAGCACGGCATCGCGCACGAGCTGGCCGCCAGCCTCTTCACCTAGGCCAAGGAGCGTACCGCCAAAAAGGCCAAGGTTGGCTCGACGTCGCCTGACGACCCGAGTCTTCAGCTTCTCTACCGTCCTGTCCAATGTCACGGGCATGTCAGGCTTAGACGTGCTTCTCGCCGACTCCGACGTTCGACACGCCCAGGCAGCATGGGTTCAGGAGCATCACCAGCTCGATGGCGCCGCCCTCGGGCACAGGCTTCGCACCGCGGGATGGCAAGCTCGAGTGGGCGCCGCCATCACGTCGGTCTCTGGCAAAGGCACCACAGGTCGTGTTGCCATGATGACGGAAGCCCATGGTCTTCATGAGGTAGAGGTTGTTCCCGCGGATCTCTCGCCTGGCAGGGTCGCGGTTTTACGCTGCGGCGGGTTGTGCTGTGGAGGGTATTTGCGCATTGGAATGTATTTGCATCACAGTATTGGACTGGCCGCAGCGAACTGGACAACCTTGTGCAGCACACGAGAGTTGTTCAAGCAGTGCAACATGCCGTTCGTCATTCAAGCTGATTTGAATATTGTGCCAGAGACTTGGCGCGGATCCAAGTGGGTCGACAGTATTGAGGCAGTCATCATCCCCCCGCCTCTTCCCACTTGTCCCCATGAGTCGGGAGGTCGTGCCCAGACTATCTTGTCGTGGATCATAGTCTGCAGCATGGCCACAACATTCGCTTACAGTCGTCCGCTGCCACCGAGCCTCACAAGCCAGTTCTTTTGCAGTTGCGTGCCACGGTCAACAATCAACACCCTTCGCGCTACCCCTCTGCGTCGCTTCCCCAGAGTTCGGCCGGATGGCTGTGGGAGGTGCGATTGGCAGCAGCGGTGGCAGCATAAGCTCGAGGAGGCTCCGCGCCCCTGTGCACGGCATGTGGGTGGATTTGGTTCAATTGGCTGAGCAGCAGTTCCTCGACATCTACCCGATCGACCCTCGAGGAGCGGACGCGCGCGCCGGACGTGGCCGACCGCTGCAGTTCGAGCAAGTTCGCAGTCGTGCTCCTCATCGGTTTCCTTTTTCCTCGTCTGGGCGCCCTCGCTGCGTGATCGAGGCGCGTCGCGCATGCCATGCGCTGTCTTTCGTTCTGGCGCCCCCCCCCGCTCGGGCAGCGGGCCCTGCGCGCGTGCAATCGGCCGCTGCGCGAGGCGAGAATCGCTCCGCTCAAGCACTGGCAGGGTTCGCGCCGCGGCTGCGCGCGCTGGGCGACGCGCGGCACCCTTCGCGTGAGTTTGCGCAAGGTTTTGATACTGGGGCCCGAGTCAGAGCCGCCCGCGAGCGCAAAACGGCCGCCATCGCGAAGGGTGCCGACTGGCGCCAGCGGGGTCGGGGCCTCTCCGTTGACGGGGCCGCGGCTCTCTTCGCCGCCGCTCGGCCGCGCGCCCCGCGGCGCGCCCCTGAACGCTTCGGGGGCAATGGTGTACTTCTGCCTGCGCCCGCGTCTCCCCAGCAGGAGATGGACCTTGTGGCGGCGGAATGGCTGCGCTGGTGGAGGGTTGATCCGGGCCACCCTGACCTGCTATGGCCAAAGGATCTCGGCCCGCTTTTTTCCTGGGCCCGCCGTCGAGGAGGTGCGAAGTGCCCCGCGTGCGTTTCCGTCTCGGTCTGGTCGCGGTTCCGATGGCGCGTCTCTTCGGCAGTTCGATTTTCTCCCTGGCGCGGCCGCGGCCGCTCTCATCCAGCTCATCATGGCCGTCGAGGCGCGACGCCTCGGCCCAGAGATGGACACCGAGCGCGCTATCTTTTCAAGCACACAGGCGGTCTGCGCCCGATCGGCCTCGCGCGGGCGCGAGGCCTCGCGCGCAGGCCGCTCGCCCGAGCCCGGCAGCGACGAAACTTCCACGAGTTTTTTTTGGGCCGCTGCTGGGCGCGGCTCGGAACTGCCGGTCTGGATTCCGTCGGCGAAGATTGCATGGGCCCGGGGCCGCGGGTTTGCCAGTGCGTTGGTGCTTCTCGATGTAGAGATAGCCGTTGAGCAGATCTCTTACTCGAGGCCCCGTGCTGCGGCTGCCGCCGCCAATTTCCCGACGCGCCAGCTCAAGCCCCCCACCCAACTTTACAGGGCGCCGCGGCTTCTGGGTTTGGATGGCCGCGCGTCAGAGCTTATACGCGCGTTGCACACCGTCATTCCAGGTTGTCAGTTTGCCACGCTGATGCTACAGTTGGTCGCGCTGCAGCCGTTGGACGTGGTCAGCCGTGCCTTCCCGACCGTCGAGGAGGGGGTCGTCGTCGATGACTTTGGGTCCCGCGTGCGTGGTCGGGAAGAGCAAGTTATCGGCAGTCTGGTCGGCGCCGCTGAGTTGGTGCACTCAGAGCTTGCCGGGGCCGGTTTGCCCGCCAAGGCTTCCAAGAGCAAATTCGCTGCTTTTTCCGCTGAGATGCGCGTTGAGCTACAGGCGAGGCCCAGGCGTCTCGGCCCAGGGAGTCGCCTCCGACCGCAACCTTGAAATTGATTTTTCAAGAGGCAAGCAGGCTGCCGGGCGGGTCAGGCATGATCGCATGCCTCCTGCGCGCGCCAGGCGCCGCCAGCTGCTCTCGTTCGGCCATCTGCTCAGGAGCATGCAACTACATCATATGGCCTTGTCTACCATTTTCTCTCCTGTGCCCCGCGGGCGCAGGTCCTCGGCACGGACGGACGACGCCGAACAGCGTGGAAAGAGGCATCAACGAGCCCAGGTCGAAGCCGCCAGGATCGACGGCCGATCGGTCTCGCTCATGCTGCAGCCTTCGGACGTCGGCAAGGTCGATCCTGTCTTCAGGTTGTGCAAGGGCCCATTGCGAGCCCAAGCCTCTGCTGTTTGGGGCCCCTGGATCCCACTGCCCATTGTTCGAGGCGGCCTCGAGGATGCTCGGCGCAGGCTGTCCGAGCATGGGCCCCCCTGGCAGTGCATTCGAGGCCCTTGCAGTGCCTGCGTCGCTTCCGCCCTTCGCCTGGGCATAAACATTCAAGGTCTACGGTGGTCCCGCCCATCCGTTGGCGTCTAGCAGCAGATGTGGATGCCCTCGAGCTTTTGCCTTTCTTGCGGGGCTTATGCTTCTCTTTGCCAGGCGCCACTTTCCACGGCGACTCAGCGCATGTCGCAGATGGCGTCCTGGAGAGGGGCCCCGAGAGCACCTGCTCCGCTCGCAGTGGGCGGGCCAAGCTCTGGCGCATGTCGCGGACTGGAGGGGGGAGAGGGGCTCTCTCTGGTCAAAGTCCAAGTGCATGCCGCGCACGCCTCAGTCGAGTCTGGCCAGGTCGTTCTGTCCCAGAAAGTTGGCAACGACCTGGCCGACCAGTGCGCTAAGTAGGCCTCCGATTTCTCGCGGCCCCCCAGCTCCTCTCCGTGTCCAGCTCGAGAGTCAGGCCAGAGTTCTCTTGGAGTGCGCCACCTGGGTTGCCAAAGTTGGACCGTCCATGGTGGCCATGGACTCCACCCATATCGCACAGAGACGTGTGGCAAAACCCCTTCCCCCCACGATCTCTGTCCTGACGCCCGCACCCCGTGCAGCCCTTCGCAGCCTGCTTTCGGCAGACCTCGGGCACGCAGGGGTTGGTACCTCGGGCGACAGGGTCCATGTCGCGCATCCGATCAAGCTTGCTGACGCAAGCCACTGGTGTGTTGCCTGTGCCGTTTGTGGCGCCAGCGGCCTGTCCATTTCCTGCCCAGGGCCTCCTCTCCCATCCTCCTGGGGTTGGCGTGTGTTGAAGGGTCTGGCCCTGGGCAGGTACCAGTTGAGTAAAACGTGGCGTCCCCTTGCCCAGGCCTGGGAAACCGCCCGTCTCGTGCGCGCGGGTGGTTGCCCGACCCTCAGGCGCGGCAGCAGCGGCCCACTCTTCCCCATCCCCCGCAGGCGCAGCCGCGCCGGCCCCAGGTGGTCCTCCCGCTGACGAGCAGCGGCGAGCGCGGCTGGCAGCGTCTCTCGCTGCTGCCGCCGCCGCCGCTGCCGCCGCCGTCGGGGTGGGCTCGGGGACGGAGGATTAAGTTTAGTTTACGTGGTGGCTTGGACTGGACATGGCCGCAATGGCGAACCCAGGAGGGGGAGGGGGAGAAAACGACGAGGAGGATGGGGAGGAGAAGGAGGAGGAGGAAGAGGAGGAACAAGAGGATGATGATGATGATGATGATGATGATGATGACGATGATGATGATGATGATGAGGATGATGATGATGATGATGATGATGATGATGACGATGACGATGACGATGACGATGATGATGATGATGATGATGATGATGATGATGATGATGATGATGATGATGATGATGATGATGATGAGGATGAGGATGAGGATGAGGATGAGGATGAGGATGAGGATGATGATGATGATGATGATGATGATGATGATGATGATGAGGAGGAGGAGGAGGAGGAGGAGGAGGAGGGGGACCAGTATCGAGGACGAGTCGCTGCGCCTTTCTTTTGCACTTCGCTCCGAGCTACAGAAAAGGCCGCGGCTCGGTCGCCCGCTGCGGCGGGAAGAAGCCAGTGGGCTTCTGCCAGTCGTGCGCCTTCTGATGGAGCGGCAGGCGCTCGGCTCGGTGACAGATCGCTGCGCCTTGGCCATGCGGCAGGAGCATCGAGAAAGAGGAGCAAGTTTCGATCGGGGAAGAGACAAGGTCATAAACATGAACTTTCGGAGGCCCCCGCTGATTTTTCGGATCGGCATGCGCGCCAGGGGCGGCGCCAGAGGTGCCGCCAGGGGGCTCCAGCGCCGATCCAAGAAGTCCTCGTGGAGCTCCGAGTTTTATATTCATATCATTGCTTGCTTTCCTGTTTGAAGCGATTCGCGCTGCTCGACCCCCCTGGCGGTGGCCGTCAGCAGTCGATCCGGGACGAGCACCGGGTCGGGATGGGACCAGGACCCAGGCGCATTAGATGGGGGGTAATATGATCGACCACACGTAAGAATGACCTTTCGCCGGAGTGACCTTTGGTGCGGGCCCAATGGGGCCCCCCCCGATCGCTGAATTCGATTCGATGGAAACGGCTTGCGCGCCTGGTGGTGTCTCCACAGGGCCCCCCCTGGCCGCGCGCTAGAGGTCACTGTGGCCCAAGATCACTCTTGCGTGTAGCCGGTATCATGTCTGGGGCCACGACATAACGTTAATGTCGTGGACCCCTCTATTTCTTTTTTCAGCACGTTCCCTGGCCCCCCTTATCCGCGCACGTGCACCGGGCCAGAATGTGTCAACACCCTTGTCCTGGCACCCTATTCCGGTGCACCCGAAAAAAGATGAACATCGAGGATCCAGGACGACGATCGAGGATCGAGGATCGAGAAGTCCCGCGCGCACAATCTGCCCAGCCCTTGGACCTCGGCCGTCGCGTGCTTGTGGAGGCCGCCCGCGGCGCGACTGTCAATCGCGCGTTCGCTGCGATCCCGATGATCAGGAGAATGACGAAGAGGCAGTTGTTGTTGCGTTATGTTTGGCGCCCTCTGGAAAGCCCTAGTCACCACGATTGGCTCTGCCTTCGAATCCTGTAATCGGATCGTGCTCTGGGGGAGGTCCTGACGAGAAGTGTTTGGATAGATGTTTATGTGTACAACATGTTTCTCTTCGGATTCGGATTCTTGGGCAAGATGCTCTAAATGTGGTTGAGGTGGGCAAAGTTTTCTGCAGGCGATCGCTGTGGCCCCATGGTAGTGGAGGATCCTCGAGGAGGGAGTCGGAGGATGAGGATGAGGAGAAGGTGGAGTGGAGGAGAGGAGGGTGATAAATGATGGGGTGGGCGGGAAAGCACGGGGGAGGAGGAGCTGACGGGGAATGGAACGACGGGAGAGGGATGAGAATGGGAAGGAGGAGGAGCAGCAGGAGCAGGATCAAGAGAAGGGAGGAGGGGGTGAAGGAGGAGGAGGAGGAAGAGCTGGAGGAGGAGGAGGGGAGTGGAACCAGGGCGAGAAAAGGGGGCTAGGTAGAAGGCCGCAGGGCGTTGGGAAGAGAGAACATGGAGTTGAAATAGGATGGATAATGGAATGCAGGTATAGAGAAAGGGATGTAGAGATAGGAGGAGCCGGGGCAGCCGAGGAGGCATGATGTAAGGGCGAGCAGGGTGATATTGACGCAGAGGGGGAGACGAATGATATGAGGAGGGCGAGGAAACACATGAGGGTGTAGCATGAAGATGAGGGACAGCATGCGAAGGATTGTGATGAAGATGATGAGGCTGATGATCAGCGTCCACCCAGATTGCATCAACGATGCTGCTGCAATTGCAAGACACCCTCCCGCCCGAAGTCCCTCCCTCAGAAGTCCCTCCCTCAGAAGTCCCTCTTACTGCAAGAAACGCCCCTTTGAACGACGAGCACCCTGGGGCCCTGCCACGTGGCCGAGAGCCCCCGGTGAGCCGCCTGGCATTCTTCGAGCGCGTCTTGACACCTGCGAGGAGTCGGGATCACAGCACAGCGAGGCGTCCAGCGAGGGCCCTGCTTTGAACGTGGAGCCGCCCCCAATCGTGCAAGCAGGCCTTGCACCAGGCTTAACACTTCCAGCCATGCAGCCCGCAGAGGTCATCCGTGCAGTGCTTCGTTCGGTCGGGAACCGTTGCTCAGCTTGCCTCTCCGCGTGGTCTTGTCCACTGCGCTTCGGCGCGACGTGCTGAGCACGCCGCGGTTCTCAAGCATCCACGTCCCAGGCCTTTCCCAGCATCGCCCGGCGACGAGGAGCGACACGCCATCAGCTTGCAGGACGCAGCGTGTCATTGGGGCCGCCGCCACCAGAAGGCACGCAGAAGTTCCCGACCGTATGCTGAGACGAGAAATGGAGAGCTCCATGTTGCAAACAACCTCCTCCTCCTCCTCCTCCTCCTCCTCCTCCTCCTCCTCCTCCTCCTCCTCCTCCTCCTCCTCCTCCTCCTCTTGGCATCCTTCGCAGACGACGTGCTGGGAAATTTGTGAACGCCCTCGTGGTCGGCTGGACACTCTCCGAGGTCATGAGTCTCCTCGCCGAGATCCACGACGTCCCCAACCTGAGGAGAGCCCACTCCCCCGTGGAGGACGGGGGAGGAGGGAGGGTCGAGGAGGGGGAGGAACGAGGAGGCCCTGCCCCCATGCCTATGATGAGGGGAGGAGGGTCGAGGAGGAGGAAAGAGGAAAGGGGAAAAGGGGAGGATGGTCGAGGAAGAGGAAAGCGGAGGAGGGTCGAGGATGAGGATTGAGGAGGATATCATAACGACAATTGTCTCTCCCCTGCCCCTATGTCTATGATGACTTCCCCATGGCGCCACACAGATGTCAGGGCACCCTTCCGCGCGTCCTGTGCGCTGGCCGGGCCTCCTATCAAGCCCATCACTCGGGGCTCAAGAGATGGGGGTCAATGCAAACGGGGGTCAGTCAGAGTGCCGGATCTTGCAGGATCTTGCAGAGCCAGGGGCGCATTGACCCAGGCTTGGGCGCAGGATCCTTCAGGATTTTGCAGGATCCTGCAAAGCCTGACTGACCCGGCTTTGGATTGACCCGGGTCCGTCGATTCCCGAATCACGACCATGATCCGATGTTTTGTGGTTTGCACGACATGTTCTTGGAGCTTTTCTGGCCGGGATGGTCTGTCTTGTTTCAGCACATCGGGTTCTGAGCTCTGAGAGCGTTGCTTCTGTTCTCAGAACATCTCGTAGCAGGCCCATTAGGAGTGCCGGGACGGCGGGTCCCTGCCCAAATCGACTAGACGTCAGAGTGACCCTTCGCCGGAGTGACCTTTGGTGCGGGCACAGATGGGTCCCCAGATGGCTGAAAACGAAGCAGTAGCAGCTGCTTGCGCGCCCAGGTTTGGCCCCTCGCGGCCCCCCCAAAAGTGGCGCACCAAAGGTCACTCTTACCCAGGGTCACTCTTGCGTATAGCCGATCAAAGAATGCTGACGGAGGCCTGTCCGCCAGGGTCGGCCTCATGGGGCCCTCATGGGGCCCCTTGCCAGCCTCGGGGGCCATCCGGGGCGACCTCCGAGAGGACGCGCCGGGTCCCAGGGAGGGGGCCGAGAGCTCGAGGGCTGCTTGGCAGGAAAGGGCCAAGGCGTCGGAGGTCAGGTAGTGATCCTCCTCCTTCTCCTCCTCCTCCTCCTCCTCCTCCTGCTCCTCCTCCTTCTCCTCCTCCTCCTCCTGCTCCTCCTCCTTCTCCTCCTCCTCCTCCTCCTCTCCCTCCTCCTCCTCCCCCTCCCCCTCCTCCTCCTCCTCCACCTCCTCCTCCTTCTCCTCCTCCTCCTTCTCCTCCTCCTCCTTCTCCTTCTCCTCGGGTCGCCTACGGCCCCGGGGGAAACCGTGCAGGGTATGGGCGGCACGTCTCGAAGCGCCGGGGTGTACGAGGGCCAGGCGCGAGGACGGCGGCCTTCGAAAAGGCGCGGGGGGGTCGGCTTCTCAGAAGGCAAGGTGCCTCCTCAGGAACGCCTGGGTGCCTCTAACGAGGCTGCTTTGAAGCTGGGAGGGCTTCTGAGGAGACCCTGCATTCTTTCGGCGGCGAGCGAAGGGGGGAAGTGAGGATGAGAAGGCCTTTTCAGAAGGCGGCGGTGCTTCTCAGAAGCCCTCAGGCCTTTAAACAGTTGTTCGTTTCTTTGGGGAAGGCATAGAAACTGTTCAGAAGGTCGCGAGACTTACGAGCCTTCTGAGAAACAGCCTCCTTCTGAGAAGCCTTTCCCCCTCCCTGTATTCTCTCGTGCGCGTCGCGAACCCACTGCTGAGTAAGTCATGCAAGAGCCGCCCAATGTAGTGGAACAACACGCGCATGCCGCAACACGGTGAGATGAAGTTGAAGAAGTGACAACGGCAGCAACAACAGAAGCTCAGCCCTCATCAGGGCACTGATCATCGGAGCCTCCGTGCTTCGGCTGATCATTTGCCAGACTGGGCAGGAGCGTGCCGACATGACATACTTACAACACGTCGGTGTTGCATCAGCTGCATTATAATGTTTGTATACTTTAGTGCCCTGCCGTGGCTGAGGGGCTGTGTCATCGAATGTCATCCTTTGTTCGTTACATTCGGCCCGCTGTAAACTTATCCTGACGATGTAGCCAACCCTTGTGCAACGCATGGCCAGAATAGCTGGGCAGACTTTCTAGGGGGTGGTAACGTGGCAAGTGGATACATGCGTTGCAAAGGGTATGTGGGAGGCTCGCGAGGTGCGCAACCCGCAGGGCATCGATCATTGGACACGGACTTGTTTGAGGTGATTCGTTAATTCCCTGGGTCGAGGGGAGAGCGGGGCGAGGACTACGAGGAGAAGGCAGACGGGGAGTTTGACACGTAAGCGGGGCAGCAGCAAGTGGACAAGGGAGCAGCACGAGAGGGACGACAGAAGGCGGTCAGAGGAAGGATGGAGATGATGTTTCGAGGTATGCCAGCAATCAGCTCCTGAAAGTCGTGACAGTTTCGCGGATCCCCTTGCCCAGGGATGGAGAGGTCGAATCTGAATACGCGCAAGTAAGACCCCCACGCTGCTGGGCCCCTCAGCAGCCCTCGAACGTGGTGACAGTTTCGCAGATTGCAGCCCCCCCCCAAGGATGGCGCGGTCGAAGAGTCGAAGATGAATCTGCTTAGGACGTCACTCCGCAGGGGGCCCCAGCAGCCCTCAAAAATGGCGACGGGCTCGCAGTTTGCACCCCCTCAGAGATGGCGAGGTGCCGCACTGATCTGTTTAGTACTGCACGAAGCTGCTCCCCCCCAAGCAGCCCTCGAAAGTAGCGACAGTTTCGCAGATCGCAGCCCCCCAGGGATGGCGAGGTCTAATTTGAATCTGCGTAAGACGCCACTCCGCTGGAGCCACCAGTAGCCCTCGAAAGTGCCGACAGTTTCGCAGATTGCAGCCCCCTAGAGATGGCGAGGTCCCTTTCCAATCTGCGCAGCACCGCACTAAGCCGGCCCCCCCAGCGGCCCTCGAATGTGCTGACAGTTTTGCAGATCGCAGCCCCCAGGCATGGCGAGGTTTAGTCTGAATCCGAATTGGGCCCCACTGTGCCGGCCCCCCCAGCAGCCCTCGAAAGTGCCGACAGTTTCGCAGATCGCAGTCCTGTAGGAATGGCGAGGTCGAAGCTGAATCCGAATGGGGCCCCACTGTGCGGGCCCTCCCAGCAGCCCTCGAATGTGCTGACAATTTCGCAGATCGCAGCCCAACAGGGATGGCGAGGTCAAATCTGGATCCCAAGGGGGCCCCACTGTCCTGGCCCTACCAGCAGCCCACGGAAGTACCGACAGTCTCGCAAATCGCAGCCCCCCACAGGGACGGCGAGGTCAAATCTTAACCCGAATGGGGTCCCACTGTGCTGGCCCCCCCAGCAGCCCTCGAAAGTGCCGACAGCTTCGCACGGCGAGGTCAGGGGCAAGTACGAGAGATACGAGACAAGAGGAGAGAGAGAGAGAGAGAGAGAAAGAGAGAGAGCGAGAGAGAGGCAAAAAGAGAAAGAGAAAGAGAGAGAGAGAGAAAGAGAAAGAGAGCCAAGGAGGGAAGCGGGAGGAGGCGGAGGCCACAGTACCCTGCTCAAAACGAGAACCCAGCAGCGGAGGGTTGGGGGAAGCAGCACGCCGGTGCTGGAGTCGCTGCAGTGCAGGAGCCGTCGGAGTGCTGGAGTCGTTTCCAAGAAGCGCTTGTGGGACTGTGTGGAAAGAGTCATGTGGGCATACAGGGCAGACATGCGCACGGCGCTCAAGGATGCTCTGCGGCCATGCTCGTTGCCACCGCCCGGCAAAGGACCAACCTGATGTTCGAGGTCGAGGTGCTTTGCAAGTGTCCGCCTCGGCGGCTCCTCGGGTGCAGCGCCGTTGGGATAGAGAGAGGCAGTGAAGAGGGGACGAGGAGGGGAGGAGGGAGAGGTGGAGGGATATGGATGAGAAGGAGAGGAGGAGGGGGATGAGCACGAGGAGGAGGAGGAGGTTGAGCACGAGGAGGAGCAGGAGGAGGAGGAGGAGGAGGAGGAGGAGGAGGAGGAGGAGGCAAAGGGAAAGCTCAAAATCACGCGGACTGGCGCCTTCGCACAGCCGCCCGTCGATGCCCCGGGCACGGCGCACTGTGCCCGCCGGGAGCTCGTGGCTTTCTAGGCCGCGCTCGGCAGCGTGGTCGGCGCCTGCGCCATGCCTGCAGTCATTCCTCGTCCCAGCTGGCTTGCTGGCCGGCGCGCCGCAGCCGTCGCGCTCGGCCTTCGCCGCCTCCGGGTCGTCGGTGTGGCTCGGGACCCAGACGACGTCCCACTTGTCTGGGGCTGGGGCGGCGAGCTGCGCGATCCGGCGCCAGAGATCAGATGCCTCTCCAGCTCCGCAGGCTGCCGCGGCACTTCGAAGACGGCGGAGGCCTCGGACCACTGCTTCGTTGTCCAGCAGCAGCAGCAGCACGCCCTGCTGCCGACCACAGGTCCGCGTGCTGCAGCGCAAGCAGGACAGCACAGACCTCCGCCATGTAGACCGTCTGCTCCGGGACCGGCAGGGCGCCCCAGACGGTACAGGCTCCCGCCGGCGCCGACCACGCCCCACGCCGCGCGGCGAAGGCGGGGGCCGCCCGGATGGGCCGCCGTGCCGTCGGTGGCAACCGGTCCAGCGAGCCGCGGGCGGTCCGGCTGCTGCCACCACGCGTCGGGGCGCCCCCCTTTGGGCCCCGGCACATCCCCGATGTAGGGAAGCGTGGGCGCGCTGCCGCAGCGACCGGCGAGCTGTCCGGCCGCCGGCGCGCTCGGCCTGCCGCGCCACAGGCACGCGCGGAGAAGCGGCGGGCCTCGCCCGCGGGCGGCGCGATCCCCGCAGCGGTCGCAGCGGCCGTCGGATGGGGCCTGCCGGGCGGCCCCCGCTGGCGCGTGCTGGTGGCGCCGGTGGGCAGGCGTCGCATCGCAGGGCGCCTGCTTCGCGCGGCTCGGCTGTCTTCAGCAGGCTCCATGCGACGGTCAGGTCGGCCCCCTGCTCGACGCCGGCTCTGTCACGCGGCCGCTCCTGCGCAGCTTGCCTCCAGAGTGTGCGCCGGGCTGCCTCCGCCGCCTCCCTGGCTATGCGCGTTCCGAGGGCTCGGCTGTCAGGTCGGGCAAAGGCACTGTCTGCAAGCCGCCACAATGCGGTCTCCTCCCTTCGGCCTCCTCCCCAGACCCAGACCCCCGACGTCATGATTTTTTCTTGACGCGGACCCCCAGCTGTCTGTGCCCATTCCCTGGGACCGGTGTTTCGTCCTGACTCGTTTTTTGACGGCCCCGAGGGCCGGTTAGGGCCCCCAGAGGCAGAGAATAGCGAAAAACTTCCCGTTGTGACTTTCTCATAGCACGATGGCCGCCACGGGGTCGCGCACCCGCGAGGACGTCAGCCGGCCCTGCTGGCACCTCGCCGCTGCGGCCCGCCACGCCGCGGCCGTTGGCGCGTCTGCGAGTTCCCCGCGCCCGAAGCACGTGAAGGAAGGAGGGTGGGGAGGAGGAGGAGGAGGAGGAGGAGGAGGAGGAGGGAGGAGGAGGAGGAGGAGGATGGAGGAGGGAGGAGGAGGAGGAGGAGGAGGAGGAGGAGGAGGAGGAGGAAGAGGAGGAGGAGGAGGAGGAGGATGCGATCACGATGCGCGAGGAGGGTGGGTGTCAACAGGGGGGCTAGGACGACGGCGAGGACAACGACACTCATGACGCGGAGATGGAGCACATGGAGACGGGGAGGAGGGTAGGGAGAGGATGCCCTTGGAGCGTGGAGGAGAGAACGCAAGAGTGAAAGAGGAGGACGTGAAGGAAGAGGAGGGGGGTGAGGATGAGGGAGGGCGGCCAGGGTGCACCCAACAATCACCAGCGATGTTGCAGTACTCTGCCCCCCTAGGCCCCCTCCCCTCAGTAGTCCCTGCAAGCATGTGCTACCTTGCGCGAAGCGCCCCCCTTCATGGACGCAACCCACGGGCCCAATCCAGGTGGACGCTCTGCACTGAAAGAGATTGCCCTCCGTTCTTCAAGCTTCGCAAGCATGTGGGGCCATAGAGTTCACGAACGTGCCCAGCGACAGCCTCGCTTTCAGAAGGAGCAGCGCTGCAGCCGTGCAACTGGCGCGCAACCCAGGAAATTCTGGTGGCAAGCGGTGCCGAAGCCTCACGCATCAGCTACATTTTGCAGGAACACCGCCCTCCACCCGTGCAGCGGTTGCACATTGTTGTGTTTTGTGTGGTGCATAATGTTTGTGATGGTGTACCAAGCAGTCACCTCATTCAGAAAAGTAGCGACTCTCCATTCGGGGGATTCTGTTGGGTTTGCTTACTTCAGAGGGTGTGCGCGGCGCCCCCATGGCGAGAACCCCATGCTGAAAGCGTTTAGCCCTCCATACGTGTAGCGGTTGCAATCTTGTGAAAACGGGTGCTCGCGGCAGCATGGCGAGGCCACATGTCGGAAACGGGCCGCTATCCATCTATTGTATTTCTCCGAGGTGCAACGACTGTGCGCAGCGTTAGGGGTCAACATTGTGAATGCCACCCGTCCGCCGTCCGTGCAGCTGTGGAAAGCTTCAAGGTTCACAACATTGTGAAGAGTCTCAGGCGACAAACGCCCAGCCCGCCTTGCCCAAACGCCTGGTGGTGCGACGAGGGCGAGTTCTGGATGTGGGGCAGGAAAGGAGGGTAGACGAGGAGTAGGGGGCAGCAGGCGCTCTTCGCAATAATTGTTCGGCTCGATTCTCAAGGGCTGCGCTGCACCCCCACTGCAAAGGTATAGTTCAGCCTCCTTACCCAGCTTTGGTCTGGGGGACCCTCACGCATCGGCCCGGCTCGACTAACCAGGCGTAGAGGTTGGGTCGAAAGATTCAGAAGTAATCTGATTTCTCACTGCGTCTGGTCTAGGGGCCCGTCACTACAGTCACTGCGGGGCCGTCGGGGGTTCGCTAACGATTCTACTCCCCTTCCTTCCTCCATTCCCATGTCCCCTCTCCCCCTCATCACCATCATCCTTCTTCCCATCACCCCTTCTCCTTCTTCCAGCAGTTGTGGGCGCCCCCATTCGTGGTGTTCTGCGCAATGGTGCCCACTCGTGCAGCAGATCGTGCACGCCTGTCCGAGCACAGCAGGTTTGTTTGGAAAAGGCGGTGATTGATGGCTCCTCTCCTCTCGCCCCCCGCTCTTGGCCAGCCGTCCCCTTCTTCTGGTGAGTGCACTCGTCTTGCTTCCAGGATGCATCGCGGAAGTAGCGCTGCTTTTGCAGGTGGCAGTTGGTTGTAATCTTCTGTACAGCCAACCCGCACAGTGAGGATGGGCAACCTTCCCAAGGGTACCCTTGCATCCTTGCCTCCTCGGTCCATCCCTGGCCACTTTCATTGGCCTCGCCCCGCTCGGAAAGTTTCGAAGTGGACGTCCAAGGCCCTTGCACCCTTATCGCGCAACCTATGATGCGGGCAGACTGTAGCGTTGCTTTTACAGCTGGCAGTTGGTTGTAATCTTCTGTTTTTCTCTCTTCATTCGATGTGTTCGACTTGCACTTCGTGCACTGTTGGCGTTAAGCTTCAAGGAGCACTGCCTATGGAGTTGATTATTCGGCTTGCTGTTCAAGTCACGCATCCTATGCTGCAGACGAGGGGAGGGGTGACGATGATAAGGCCTAGGAGGGGAAGGGGAGGAGAGGGCGGGATGAAGAAGAAAACCCCTCTTTTCAGGAATGCAGCGACAGCGAGCACGACTAAAAGGATACTACGGTAGGGGGGATCAATTCGTGGACACTCCCTTGCTCCCCCAAACTCCAAGTTGGAATGCGCGGAGGAGACTGCGGTCGAAGTGCAACTTATCAGACCCACCGCCAACTTTGAACACTGGTGGGAGGGCGGAATGACGACGACCATCCTCTGCAACTCAAAGATGGAAAACACAGAACATAAACTTTTGGTGCTCCGCGCAGATTTCTTGGATCTGCGTTGAGCCCCCCCTGGCGGCGCCTCCTGCGCCGCCCCTGGCACGCTCCGCGCGCCAGGGAAGGGGGTCCAACGCAGATCCAAGAAACCCGCGCGGAGCGCCAAAAGTGTGTGTTCATAGTTGTTGTTTTATTAAAGGGGTGCAGCGACAGCGAGCAGGACTAAAAGGATACAAGGACTACTCGTGATGAGCAGGGGGAGGGGCCGTGGAAGGACGAGGAAGCGGATAACGATATTCATCGTGATGCTGCGTTTCTAGAGGGGCCCCCGCCTTACGACAGTGCCAGTCATTGCCATACCGCCAGTTTGCAGCCACTCTGTGATCAGTGAATGCCACCATGGTAGGATACTGCCCCCTAGCAGCAGGTCTCTCTCTGAGGTGCAATGCACGGGATGGGCGTGGCCAGCTCCTGGATAAGTGGTGGCCGCTGCGGTGTTGAAGCTTGTGGGCTACATACGTTGTAGCACATTTGCCATGTTTGAGGTTCGCTGCGTATTTTCTGGTTTTCTGAAGTCATCAGTTCACTCCTTGAGTATATGTCTTCGTTCTCATATTGCTCGTGATTGCTGGACCTGTAGTGATTCTGCCTGGCGCTTGGTTGAACTAAGGCATTTGGACATCAAGATTAGCGACCTGAAAAGGAGCACTCCCTGTGAGCGTTGATTGCGGTGGTGGTAGTGACGATAATCACGACGGCCTCTGCGGAGACGTCATGAGTTTGGTGATGATCGTGGTGGCATGGCCATTGTCGGCTGTGGTGATTTTGATGGGTAAGGACAGGCGGCATCTCCATGAGTGTCGGAGGACCCTCCATTGCTCCTCGCGCTGGTGGTGGTGGTGGTGGTGGTGGTGGTGGTGGTGGTGGTGGTGGTGGTGGTGGTGGTGGTGGTGTCGTATTTCCTTGCTCCTATGGTGAGGGTGCTGTGTTCGTGCAGGGTGATGGTAACGAGGATTGGGATACTCATGATGATGAGGACGATGACCGTGGTGATGACGACTAGTACGCAGCGATAACGATTACTGCCCAACCTTTTTTGGCCTCCCGGCGTGACATGTCTCAATCGAGAGAACCACGGATCCGCGCTGGGCCCCCCCAGCGGCGCCTCCGTCGCCACCCCTGGCGCGTTCCGCGCGCCAAGGCGGGGGGTCCAGCGCAGATCCAAGAAACCCGCGCGGAGCGCCGACAGTTTATGTTTTTGGCGTTCTTTCTCTTTTCTGGTAGACGTGTGTGTTTTCGGAGGTCCGTGCAGGTTTCTGGGATCGGCGCTGGACGCCCCCCGTCCCTGGCGCGCGGAGGTGCCGCCAGGGTGGGTGGTCAGCGCCGACCCAATGCATGGCTTGTGTCGCTTCTTGCTCCCCTACAGCCTACTTGCAGTCAACCCGTAGCACGGAAAGAGCGAGGTACGAGTGATGTACGTTGAGTTGGGGCGAAGCCTTCTAGGGAGGGGTCCAGGGGAGGGGCGAGGGGGGGACGCATACGTCTAATGGCCGTTCGGGGAGCCGTTTCCCACGTACTTTTTGAGTAACGGAAAGAGCGAGTTATAGAAGGTGCGGGCCTTGTCTAGGGATGTACGGCCGGCGCCTTCTAAGAAGCACCCTCCTTCTAAGAAGCCTTCTCCGCTCCCTCCACCCCCATTAAGCTTCCCCCCCCCACCCCTCTACCCCGTTACGCGTGCCGCCAAAATCGTTCTAAGGAGAAAAGACGGCGTAAACATGAAATTTCCAGAGCTCCGCGCGGATTTCCTGGATCGGCGCGGGGCACCCCTGGCGGCGCCTCTGGCGCGGTCTTCAGCGCGCTCCGCGCGACAACACGGGGTTTCAGCGCAGATCCAAGAAATCCGCGCGGACTTCAGCGTCGGCCAATGCCAGTGGGGGTCACCACCAGGGGTGTCGCCAGCTCATCCAGAGGGTCTCTAAGAGGCTCTAGGTCGCCCAGATGGCGTCGGAGTAGATGGGGTCGGAGGATCGCGCCGCATCGCCGGTGCATCGCCAGTGCATCGACGATGCGGCTCTATGGGGAGCCCGAGTTTTATTCACGCCGACGTCGCCTATGCATCAACGACGTCGCCGATGCACCGCCGCTGCATCGCCGATTCATAAGTGATGCGTTGGCGATGCAGCGCGATTTTCCGACCCCATCTGCTTGGACCCCATCTAGGAGGCATCTAGGGTCGGGGTTCGAGGGTCGAGGACCGAGTCGTCCTCCTTCACGATGTTGGCAGTTTGGGGGTGGTTGGGATGGTTTGGGGGATCCCGAGGGGTCCTCCTCCGCGAGGGGGTGGCGACCCCTCGTCCATTGGCGTCCCCCCTTAGCATTGCCTGGCAGTGGCTGGAGTGGTTGGTCGCCCTCGGCCTCCCCTCTCCCTCTCCCTCCTTCCGCCTCCCTCCCCTCTGCAGGTCTCCAGGGATCTCTGGATGTCTCCAGGGGTCTTCGCGGGTCTCTGGAAGCCTTCCAGGCGACCGGAAAGAGAAGGACATCAGCATCCAACAGCTTCCCCATTCCCTCCTCCCTCCTTCCTCCTCCTCCTCGTCCTCCTCCTCCTCCTCCTCCTCCTCCTCTTCCTCCTCCTCCTGCTCCTCCTCCTCCTCCTCCTCCTCTTCCTCGTCCTTCTCCTCCTCCTCCTCCTCCTCCTCCTCCTCCTCCTCCTCCTCCTCCTCCTCCTCCTCCTCCTCCTCTTCCTCCATCTCAAAGTCTCCACCCGAGGCGGGCCGGGTTCTCAGTCGGGCCTGTCTCGCTTTGTCCCTTCTGGTGGCGTCTCTTGTTGTGGATGTCGAAAACAGATTCCTCGCTCTCTTTCTCCCCATCTTCATCGCCCAGCGCAAGGTCGATGCAGTCCGTCTGTCTGTACGCCCCCCCCCCGAGTGAGGCAGAGGGCCACCTCGACCCCCAACGCGCTTCAAACGACAGCATAGTCCAGGCGCGGGGGCGAGCGAAGTAGCGTAGGTACGTCGCCCCCAGCTCCCGGCTGCGCTCAGCCGCCCCCTCTTCCTTGCCAGTTCTCTCCATGCCGCCTCCGTGGGGCCCGCCGCATTCTGGACCTCCTTCGGGGCAGTCGGACGTCCGGATCCTGGTGGGTTGTCCTGAGGCTTGCTTGCGGTGTCTGTGCGCCCTCGTTAGTGATGCTTTCCGGCTCTAAGTCATCGGAGGCTGTGCTGGCGATTTTGGGGTGATTTCCGGGCCCCCGTTAACCATTGAGGTCTGTGAGCTGCCAGGTGCACTGCAGGATCGACCGCCCTTGCCTTCTGAGGGCGGAGACAGTTCGCGCGCCTAGGGGCCCGCAAGAGGTCCTTGGTTCCTTCTCGGTGTCAGTCGCGTTGGTGTCTGCGGGGTTCCCCTTTGCTTTCTGGGTCGTCCTTCCCGTCTCAACGGTTCTCGTTCGCGCTCCCCTCGCGTTTCTGCGGGTTGCCTGTTGCTGCCCGCAGGCTGCTGCGAAGGCCTTGCGGCCTGTGCCGCCGACCATGAAGGCGGGACCTCCCCATAGCACCCCCCGTCGGCGCCTCCCCCCGGGACCCGCCTGAACCCCCGCGGAGTGGGGGGGCGTATTCTAACCGGGGACCACCCTAGCTCCCCCACCACAGACGGGACCTCCCCCGGGATTCCCCTTCAGGACCCCCCCATCGAACGTGCCCTCCCCTTTCCCCCTGTCCTTCCTGTCCAGAGGGGAAGCCACCTTCTCCCACCACAGACAGAACCTCCCCCAGGACTCCCCTCCACAATTACTCAATATGAAAATACTCTCCCTCTTCCCCTGATGGCGTCCGGGTGATGGCCGCGCACCATCCGCGTATTGTTTTTTTACAGGATCCCCGGGAAATCCCGGGAAACGACTCTCGCTGAGGCGCCGGCGTCATTTTTTCCCAAACTGCTGCTCTCGTTGAGGCGCCGGCCTCATTTCTGCTCCCGAATCGTTCCGAATCGTGCTCCCGCTTCAGCGTGGGCCTCATTTTCGGATCGGTGTTTGGCCTCCGTCGTTCAGGATGGCGTTCTCGCCCCAGCGCGGGCCTTTTTCTCGCGCGCCCATCCGCCCGCCACCACCGCCCGCACAGCCACCACCACCCCACCCACCACCACACCACCACCAAAACCACCACCAGCACCAGCAACAGTACCAACACCCCACCACCAGCACCACCACCACCACCACCAGCAACCACCACCACCACCACCACCACCACCACCACCACCACCCCACCACCACCACCACCACCACCACCACCACCACCACCACCACCACCACCACCACGACAACCACGCACACACGCACGCACGCACGCACGTGCACCACCACCCACTACGCACGCGCGCGCGGAGCCACAGGTCCGCTACGACACGCGTCCGCGGATAGAGAAAATCAGCGCCATGGTAAGGGATGGGAGGGAGGGGTAGGACGTCAGATATGACGCGAGCGCACCTAGCTTGAGGACCCCCCCTCGCAGCCTCCCCCTGTCTTTCCTGTCCCCTACTACGGCATTTCATGTGCGTCCTCTGTTCGTTTCTAGATTTCCTCGGGACTGGCGACGACGACGACGACGAAGACGACGACGACGACGACGAAGACGACGACGGCGTCTCACACACGCCGAAGGGTCGGCGGATTTCGTGCCGTGCGCGGCAAAGCGGCCTGAACGAGCGTTGACGTGCTCGGCAGGCAGTATGACCTTCGGGGACACCTGCACTAAGGAGCAGAACCAGGCGGTGGATTATCCGGCGCAGAGAACATGATAGTGGTCTGCAGAGACCAGCGAGCGGGCATCACCGCGAAGAGAGTGGCCGATGCGGCAAAGGGAGCGTTGGGGCGCGCGGCCTGCACCATTGGGTTTTCGCGGCAGGGCCGCATTATCAGCGCGCAGGAGACGGAATACCTGGCAAGGGAAGTAAAAGTAGTCTGCGCAAGCTGCAACGGCTGTTGGCTCACGTCGCGCAGTTGGCAATCGCATGGATGCACGGGCACGTACAGGAGGAAGCTCCCGAAATCTGCGCTTGCTGGAGGGGCGCTGTGCACATTCCGCAAAAGATGGCACCCTAAAGTGCAAGTCGTGCGGGTGATGCCGCGCTGGGGTCTTCTGGTAGGTGCGGTCGTCGACGCCGTCACGTGGGGCAAAGGCGAGCTCCCGTTGAGGGGGAAGGACGAATAACAGGAACAGGAGGCAGAGGAAGAGGTGGCAGAGGGGAAGGGGAGGGAATTATCGAGCGGTCCTCGGCCTAAGTACCCGCCACCGGGCCTGGGCTGTGGGTCGGGATCCTTTTGGACGCATGTGCGGGTTCATTGGGACGCCTCTCTGGGGCATCTTGGAGAGCTCTTGGGGGGGTATCTGGGTTTGGGGAGGGGGTCTTGCTGAGGCTCATTGAGGGGCCACGTGTTCGGGGACTCTTGGAAGCCACGCGTGGCCTTTCGGGTACGCCTCGGGGCCTCCTGGGGGCAGTTTGGGCCTTTTTGGTAGTTCGCCAAGCAGGGGGCCACGTATCATGCGCATCCCGCGTGGTACTGAGAGGCGGCCTACATCGAGAAATTCTAAACTCGTGCGCGATATCCTCGAATCCGCCGCCTACGTAGGAGTCCTAGGCCGTGAGGTCGTCGACGCTGACCTGGGCACGAGTCCTGCCGAGCATTCGAACCTCCACGAAACCGCCCTGTTGACC